CTAGCCCCTAACATTGTATTTCTGTAAGACATTCAGAGACCAGTTTCCCTTCTATGCTGTGTGTGTGAACATACTATGTTGTTAGCAGAGTTATCTCTTGAAAAGGTTTTTTTAAATATGTTTGCAATACCATAAATAAGATTTTGAAAAGCAGCTTACCTGAAGACTCCTATTCTTACCTACATCGACTGTTTTTCCATAAATGAAAAATGACTCTCCCTCTAATTGGAGGATGATTCTTGATTAGTTTTCTACGTCATGGTACTCAGATAATATCAACAGATATTCAGTGGGCTTTTGATTCTTTCCTTTTTAAGGAGAAGTTAAGGGGGAAATAAGACTGACAAATGGAAAAATATCCACGGTATTAAATAGACATTTGGGCAGGGACTCGAGAGTAACATGGATAGCTAATAATCTGATTTGATTAGCAACAAGACCAGCCTTTTTCTTTTTTTAAAAGAAAACTGATTCAAACTTTCATTGCAGTCTTTTTTTCAAGCACAGAAGCAACTCCTTAGCAGTAGTGCTGGCTGTTGGTACCTACCTACAATTACCAGACATCAAGACTACCAAGTGACAGAATTTTAAAATTTTCTGTACATCTTCATTTGGCAGCTGTGTTCTAGTTCACCTGTAGAAAGACATTTGTAAGTCACAAGCAATGACAATTCAAAAATAAGTGTGTAACTAGCCATGAGGTGCATGTGCCTGAAGGGTGGGAATGCTCACTGCTCCTTTTCTTACATATCCCAAATGTACCACAGTTGACAAGATTCAAATTCCTTTTGTTCCCTACTTTGACGCCTCTACCCCGATGATAAGGATTCAAGAGGGAGGATATTTATTAGGCTATGGTGCCAAGACTGCTGTCTTTTAGGATTCGTTCTTATTTTTTCCATATGGCAGGTGTGGTCCGATCATTCTAAAACTGTGCCTACTTGAAAGGCCGCCTTTTTATATATAGGAAGGGCTAGATGAGGCAGATTAGATTTTCTGCTTTGGGTCTTCAGGAAAAACATTTATTTTCCTTTTGATTTGTGTTCTTGCACAATTCTTAGTCATTTTTTTTTTTGACGGGAGAATAGGAAACTAAAGGGTTGAGATAAAGGTGTGGACTTATAGGATAGAACCCAGGGAGGTTGTTCAACCTGTTTTTGGTTTTGGCTTAGGCAGTGGTGTACTGGTAAATGTTTAACTGGCTCTCTGGGGGAAAAATGTGTGTGTACATATAATCAAATGTAAGTTTATAATAAGTTTTACTGATACAAAAATAATATATGATTAACAAATTTAGAATATTCAGTGTTATTTAATACAGTAATATGTAAATACATTAATGCAATAAAATTATAATTCACAAATAACAATAGAACATTAATAATACTCTGTTGTTAATTTTATATGTTATAGATTCTCACAGAATGCTTGTTTGCATTGATTTTACAGAATTCTTCACCTGTAGCCAGACTGATTGCAGTTGATGAATAAATATGATTCCCAACATGAATGTTGGGTGATACTTTACATGAAAGAGTAAGACGAAAATTAAAACAATAAAATCATGTTGGAAATTTCACTATTTGTCAAGAAAGAGAGTACCATCTTTATTGAAAGACAGTTTTTAAATACTAGGGTATTTTCTCAAATTTTGTGCTATTTGTGTATACCAGCTATAAGCAAGATATGTTTTTAAGTTTAACCTGCATTATTTACATTTTTCTATCAATTTCTTAAATCTAGAGATAGCAACAATAAATCAAGCCCTGATTTTAACATTTGCTGATTTCCACAGTCTAGATGCTGTGATCTCAAGCTACCAGTGTGACTGGATGCAGAGTTGGGAGGAGATGCACAGCTGTGCACATTATATAGCCTTTCCCACCATCACAGATACAGTGGATATTTAAAACCTCAAGAACATCTCTAAGGTCCAGAACATAGATAATGGTAAAATGTAGTAAATCTTTAGGAAATAGTGAGTTTGGGATATTTGTTTTGATAAAATTTATTTAATAGTAAACTTACATAGTTTAACTTTTAATAAGGGCTTGCAGAATTTCTGAAAATGTAAGAGTCAGGTCCCATAAGCTTGTACAAGCCAGTTTCAACACACTACTGGCCCTGTACCTTCCAACTCACACCAGTGATTCCCTAATGCCGGTGGGGGTTGGGGAGGGGCAGAGGTGAGACCTCAAACTACAGTTCAAAACAAAACAAAACCTGCCCAGGTAGTTGTGTACAACCAGATTCAGGAACTATTCCTCTGGCATATAGTCAGGTCGTCAGGACCCAGTGTATCAAGGTTTGAGGCAAGAATCCCATTGACAACCACTCTTTGCCTTGTTCTCTGCTCATATATTGTATCCCTTTGGAACCTCATGGGATAGAGGTTAGAATGGGGTTTTAGGTGGGAAAGAGTTCACGTGTTTGAGATCCTGGGACTTGGCCACGTTTTCATGGGGTATCTTTGGTTAGCACCACTACTATCCTACGGAAGTGGAAACCAACCCAATTTCTCAGTTCCTAATCAGAAGTTAGCACTGAAAAAGCAGAACTGGATACGAAAGGCTGTGGGCTAGTTAGTTGGAACCATAAGCTCTTCTCCTGGGGTCGGCTGCTGACTCATGGGGAAGTTTTCTGTCTCAGTAGCCCACATTTTCAAATGTCATTATTCAGTAAAATTTAACAGCAAAGCATGATTGGCTCTTGTGTTGGTGTGGAGCTTGGAATGGTGGCCTCCATCATTTTTTGAAATCATGAAAACCTGAAATTATAACACATGAATTAGGAAATGGTATAATTTTTTCAAATAGGCTTTTTGTCTTACGAAAAGGTTCACAGAGGTTACCTTTCTGAAACTACCTTTTGAAATGCCCTTCAGATGGTTTTAATTGGTGCTTGCAAAATCCTCATTTTTGTATGTTTGTAGAGATACATGCCTATTGCATTAAACATACTCAGCCTATATTCATTGTTCAGTATCCAGAATCTGTTTCATTATAGCTGTGAAAAAGGAAATATCTGTACTAGCATAAGGGTATGTCTGAAGGCTGGAACAACATAACAGTATTTTCTTTGCTGAGCTGAGAGTCACTTGGAACATGACTGAGCCAGCAATTTTGAAACTGCTTTTGTCCCTCTTTCACATGAAATCACTAATGAAGTCCTGGCCTATGAAATCAGTAATGAAAATTGAGGAACCTTAAGTGGAAGCCTTAAACTTTTATTTTAAATTCCTGAAAGAATCCAATATAAAACATACTTGAGGCAAAAAATAGGCTGTGGATCAGGGAGCATGCATGAAATCAGAAAGGCATAATGTTCCATGTACTCCTAAAATTCTGTTATTTATTAATTAGCTGTACGCAAAATTTCTCATGGAAAATTTAAAAAGCCAGTGTCCAGAGGAAAAAAAAATTTTGGGTGGGGGGATAATTATGTGTCAGATTGTTTTTCTGAGCATTTTCCAAGTCCTCCAATGAGCCTCAAGGACATCAGTGCACATGGGCAATGCCGCAGACACCAGTGACAATAGGAGATGATTATTTGGGCCCTTTTTAAAAAATATTTAAAGACATTTCCATTTGAAAGCTTCTAAGTACATGATTTCAGAGGGAGAATAACTGCATATGACAGGCAGGCTTTTGGGCATGGAGAATAGAAACAGAAGCAGGCAAACCCGTGTGATTTGTTTTATTATTTTGCTAGTGCCTCACATCTGTGCTGAGACAGTTTACCTCTGCACCTTAGCTTCTCCAACTTGGAAATGTGTAACGTTCTGTGCAGCACTGTGCTCAAGAAGAAGAGAGAACCAGCGGATCTTATGATCTCTTTCACCTCTTTGCCACCTCTTCCCCTACCTCCCCGTATCTGACATGGCATAGGTAGGGCTTGCCGAATTTCCTTTGCCTCTGCACACTCTCTTCCAATCTACAAGGGCCATTACCTACCCTCGGCCCTCTGGATCCCTCATTTCATGACTCTGCAAAGTACCCTGTTACAGAAAGGTTTCCAGGATGGTCACTTCCTTTAACTCTGCAGACCAGAGAGCAGAACAAGCCCAGCCCTCTGTGTGATCTTGAAGAAGGTCACTGCTGAACATCTGGAGAGGTAGGCTGGCACCGTTAACTCGCTCCAAGCCCTGACTAGTCTCCACATGCTCTGTGCTGCCCCTGGGGCCAAAAGGCAATGTCAGATGAAGCAAATGGAGGTACGGAATCGTACTTCTATGAACTTAGCAGAGATTTGGGCCTTTCCTACATGGTACCATTCTATATCACAATCCTGTTGTCTCCCTCCTTTGGTGGCTCCTCTCTTAAGGATATGTTCAAATTTCATAACCCAAGGGACAAAGCCCTTCATGATCTGGCCTTGAAATTATGTCCCCCTGCTGCATCTACATCAACCCACTCATTGTTTGGATTTCCCCAGAATGGCTGCTACTTGTCCTTTAAAGTCCAAGTAAAGCTTCACTCCTTGGCTCTTGGATGGATTTTTCTGAGACTGTCAGGTTGGGTCAAGCACTCTGCACACCTGTAAATGCCTTGTCTTCCCTGGAGCACTTACGGCCTTGTCTAATCATGACCTTACTTCATTTGCCGTATGTGAGCTTCCTGAGGACAGACCATGTTTCTTCATCTCTGTGTCCCCAGCAAAGTGTCTGACAAGTGGTAATTCTTCACCTAGTGTTTAATGAATCAATGATCTGTTGCACTACCTGAAAATTAAAATTAATGAAATAGAAGAGAAGAGAAAATAAAAAAAAGATTGTCTCTGGGTTCAACTCCTAAAGAAATCAGAATTTTAATACTTCTCAATGACCCATGGAAGAGAGACAAGAAAATACACTCCCCTGCCAGTAGATGAATGCTGGTAATCTTGACATGTGACTCAGGTATTCCTGGGAATAGAAAGCTTTGAGAAAGGGCAAGCATACTACTCGGGAAGACCTTGAAATAAAAATTATCATTAAGCAAACACTGGGGGAGGGTTGTGTTCAGTAAGAAATATGCCCTAAGAATGCATCAGGATTCAGAACAAATAAATCTGTGTAAAGAGACTATATCAACAGGAAACTTTTGTTAGCTGAAAAATTGGGAAGGATGATTTCATAACTCTCCTGGGTTACAAAGCACAGTAGGTAAATCAATGATATGGTAGCAAAGACTCTAGTTTCTTATTATGGTGTGCTTTCAGCTCAAAGAAAAGAAAGATATTTCATTCAGTATAATAGCATGTATGCCACATAGCCATTGGTTAATAAGGTCAAAGAAAGTATCAGTATATAGAACTCTCCAGGTTAGCCTTCCACCAGCAGCCTAAAGGTGAATCAAATTGTGTTGGTTTCTCCCCAGAGGTGGTGCTAACCTGTGGACATAAGGACAGCTGCAACCAGAGTTAGACTGTGCAGCTCCCAGCTCGGCTCCACCCTGCTCCAAGAGGATTAAGGATGGAAAAAGCCTGAAGGGCACAGAACTCAACAACACTCGATAATAAAACTTTCCTAGAGTGAATAACATGGAAAAGAGGCCCAGTCATGGGCCCTAGGCATTGAGCTTGGAGTTAAGACAGCATTGTAAGTTCTCATCACTACCTTTCTGTTATGAACTAACCAGAATTTTCCTGGTAAGAGTCTTGTTGGGTTACCACACAAGACTCTTTACTAGGAAAATTATGGCTTCTTAATGGACCTAAAAAGTGAATGAGCATGTTGTGTTCTCCTCTGCAAAGATCTCACTGGGCTAGGGTTGTAAGGAGGCTAGAGCTGGGAGACCAGAATAGGGCAGTCAGGACCTCTGAGTGGCTGGGACCTTTGGAGACACAGCTTATTCCTCTTGCCTGGAGAGTGGCTCTCTTTGCCTTGTCTCTTGTGGTACCTCAACCAATATCTCTTGAGTATTTCCCATCCCAAACCACATCAATACACTGACAGGTCCATAGGTGACAAAGAGATCCCAAGCATTTATCTTTGAGTGCTTCTAGGCTTTTGCTACCAGAATCAACCTAATTTACACCACTGCCACTAAGTGTTTGGGCTTGTCCATGGTAATGTGTGCACCAAACAATGCAGGAGAATCCAGCAGGTGGTAGAGAGGGCACTGCCAGCTCCAGCCTTGGTTCTTTGTAGATGATGTGGACTGACAAGTAAACTGTGACTGTCATACTCCTCTCACCTTCTAAGGATACAAACATCAAGAAAGGTCAGTCCTCAGATCTGCCTATTATCCTGTATCTGCTTGTTATGAGTACATGCCTTCCTGAAAGCCAGATTGCCTGAGTTCACGCCCTGCTCTGCCACTACCGTATGACGTAAGTCAAGCTGCTCAACTGCTGTGTCTCCTCACCTAAAAAATAGGGTCATGATAATACTTAGTTCATAGGGTTCTAGAGATAATTAACATGTGCAGTGTGTGTTAGGTACTATTTTTAAGCCCCTTGGCATGCACAGATTCTCAGATCGTCAACCTTGCAGTTACAAAGCACAGAATATTTGGCTAATTGTCTAGTGCACTTCTCATTTGTAAAGAAAAGAAAACTAAAATCCAGAGACAAGACAGGCCTTCCCCCAAAGTCAAATGGTGATCACGAATAGAGCAAGTACCAGCATTTGAGCTCCCTGCCCTCTGAGTCAACTTTTAAGCGGGCCGTTGTTATTGGGCAATGAGATCATTCTATAGAGTAAATTGGCCATTTTCTAGATTAGCTAGTCTTGCTTGCTTAGGCTTTCTAAATGGGCATAAGGTCGAGGATTTTGTAGTTTAAAACCATAATGCCGGAGTCTGAGTTGTGTGAACTCAGAAGTACACTGGTTTCAGAGGGCAAAATTACAAATAGCCAGCGGCAGGAGTGCCCATCCTTCCAGGGCCGCCAGACCTTGGTGCTAAGTGCTGGGTGAACACTGACTGAAGGAGGCTGCGCAGGAGGGGGTGGAAGTGGTTTTGCCATCTGGAGCTGAGGAAAAAAAAGACCTATGGTTCATGTACATATTCGGTATGGCAGCATGGTAATGAAATTGGCTTCGTCGGCCAGGCAGGAAAGTGGGTGCCTTTATATTATAGTTGTGCCTCACATATTATCTACACAAATCCCCACCATCCATCCCCCAAGATCATGACTGACTGTGCCAGCCACAGCAGGCATTATGGCCCTTTTTACTACCTCTTCCTCCTTCCCCCATTTGTGGACCCTCAAAATTCATTTCAATATGATTAATCCTCAGTACAAAGATTGGGGTAGGGCGCAGTGTGAACTGCCATGATGGAAAGGAAAGAATTAAAAACAACACTTAGAATAAAACCAGTCCACGGGCCCAAGTTGTAAGTGGAGGAAGAGTTACGCTTGCTTGGAGGCCACCGGCAGCCTTGCTGGTGTGGTGTCCTGGAGCCAGCGACACACAGCCCCCAGGACAGGGGAGACTTCCTTTCCCAGTCCGCAGGGCCCATCATTCCTTTATTTCTGTTGCACCGAGACCGTTTCTTCATGTCCTTGAAGGCTGGGGCTACCTCTTACTCTTTATCTCTTGGGTTCTCAGGAACTGGCCGTTACCAGATTTTGTGAGTTAATTAATTGTTTATGCCTCACTGAGTCCTGGCATGTTGGGAAATAAGTGGCATTTTCTTCTAGACTTGAACCTGTTGACGTTTTGAGCCTAGGGCAGCCCTGGTATTGATACCGGGAAGAGACACCTGGGAGTTCCTCCCTCGGAGGTCCCGACATCCTTGGGTTGACCTCACACCTCTTTTCCTTCAAACCAGGCTGTTGCTGCTGAAATTGAGCCTTGGTATGAGAATGAATAGCCTGAGAAAGCCTAGCAGGATGTGAGTAAATTAAAGAATTGGGTTTTTTCCCTTGGGTTTTTAGGCAGAAGGGAACCTACCTACTGTAAAAATAAAAAAGTCCCAGTGTGAATGAACGGCAGGCCAAGGCCAGTGCGGAGATGCCATTTTTGCACTAAGTAAATCAATCGCGGGAATTTCCTACCTTGAAAAGAAAAGAAGGGGTGAGGGGAGGGGAGGCCGAAGGAGCGGGAAAGAAGAAAAGAAAGAAAATGGATGATTAAGAACGAGTGCCTTCACTGTTCTCTCTATGCCTAATTTCCACTATCCTGGGGCCCCCGGGGCAGGGGGGCGGGGTGGGTGCTCTGGGAGGCTAATAAGGAGGATGGATACTGTCCTTGGGCTGAGTGGTCGAGCAAACTGATGCTTTGATACTTGGAGCCTTTGTTGAAAGAGAAAGCAGGTGGCTGCAGTTGAATGCAGGGCAAAGGTGAGTAAGGATGAGGTTCTGCTGCGGCGAGGGGAGTATCTCCGGTACCACCAAGTGTGTGATCTTACTATACGCCTTGATTTCTCAAACCAGACGGAGCTAGCTTGAGAGTTGCCTGCCTCAAGCGCTAGAAAACTCAGCCACCTTGGACATTTTACTGTCCATGCTGACTCTTCTATCCTGATGGATAGAACTGGTCAAATGCCTCAGGAGTCCAAATTCTAGGTCCCTGTTTGCTGAAAGCGGTCAGCCAGCATTCTGACCCTGCTCCGGTTCCTGATGACTGGCATCAGGTGGCCCAGAAAGCCCCAGAGATTTGTTGTCCGATTTCTGTGAGCCAATCGAAAGAGAAACTTAGCAACAGGATCCCCAAAGATAATATAAAAGTTAGCACCTTCCAGGAGTAGCTTCTTGGTCTCTGGACTTTGTGTCAACAGGTAGCTAGCCCCATTCAGAATCATGCCTCTTGTTTTGGGGAAGGCATGGTAGCATCATCTCATAGTGGCCAGTATGACTTTCAGTTTACTGCTCAGGTTTGCCTGCTTGAGAGAGACGTTGCTTCTTTTATTGCTGTTGCTTTGAAACTGTTTGTTATCTTGTATTTTGGTCTTGCCATGAAAATGAATAAATAAAGAGAAGCATGATTTCTTAACGGTCTCCATTTTCAGATGCACTCCTCTGCCCAGTGGCCTGAATACATTTGTTGGGAATAAAGTAGAAGAGGGACAGGAAAGCACTAGCCAATACAGGTATGGGTTTCATCTCTGGAAAACCATGTACCCTTATGCCAGTTTCCGACACATGGTGTGGCTTCATTTGCAAAAGGCTATAGTGTATGCATTATACTTATACTTATTTTTTTTCTTTAGAAAACTGAATTAAATCCAGTGTCTTTTGTGTTTTGGCTCTCCTTCATGCAACTTCTTTAGGAAAGTGTTTACAATTACTTTGACATGGTGTCACACAGACTCATTCCAGTGGGATCCACTTAGATGGTCTTACGGCTTTTGCTCCAGCTGTGGATATGAGTTTTGATGTACACTGTGCATGGACCAAGTGGACGCTTCATTCCTATGGTGGGAGACTTGGAATAGCAGCATCCTGCTTGCAAAAATTATTAAGAAAAAAAAAAGACTTCCTGATTAATTCTATTATCTTCAACTGTCCTTCAGACTAGGTCCCATTTCAAATAGTTAACCCAGTGTGATTCTCAACCTTGGGCCATAACAGCCTCACCTGGATAGAACATAACCCCTCCCATCCTCATCCTGTTCACCCCCATCAGTCCCAGTCTCAGAGATTCCTAATATGTCTTGGTTGGGGGCATTGGGACGGGCAGACAAATGGATGGTTAGGTAGATAGATATTTTATTTTGGTGGTGGTGTTGGACACAAGTGAGTTTGAGGCTCAGCCTTGGTTGAGAACCACCAAGTTAAACAATGTAGTCTTTTAAAGACAATTCACTTTCATGACAAATAATAGAAAGCCTAAGGATATGAAGAGAAGGAGATGCTCAGAGAAATAGCTAAAAATTGCCTGTGGTCATAAGGGGCCTTTCTTCATTGTTATAACAAACTCCTCTCTTATCTCATGGGCTAACTTTCATTTACATAAAGATAAATATTAGAAAACTCTCTAAAATTTCAAAATTTCATTATGTTTTTGAAATCAGAAGCACATGGAAAAGTCACTTTTGCCCATAAAAAAAAAAGACTGCCATTTCACTGGGCTAAATCTGGCCTCATATCCAAGATGACATGTATTTATCTACAAATAAGGAGGGATTAATTCGTACCTGGTAATTCAGCTTCAGTTGTCTTTACGAGGGTTGTTCAGCACCTAAGCAGATACACAAGCTGATAATAACCACTTACTGTGTGCTGGGTACTGTCCTCATGCTTTACTTTCATCTCCTCACACCTCTGTAAGGCAGGTTTTATTATTCCCACTTTATAGATGAGAAACTAGATACACTTGCCCACATTCACTCAGCTCACAGAAACTGGAACTCAGGTCTGAATGACCCCAAAGCTATGTTGCAACCCTACGCCACCTGGTCTCCTCCCCTCCCGTGTGTGGTGGGCCTACTGGAGCACAACAGGCCATGGGCACCAGCAGCTGCGCAGCCTCTTCGGACAAATATGTAAGAGACTTACAGACAAGGATACCTGCTTTAGACATTACAGAAGGCCAAATAAACATTCCTGTAAATGTGGCAGTGATGACTGAAGATCTTTATTAAAAATAAATTAAGCATGTACACTGCAGTGTTAACCTCTGTTAAATCTGGGGTTTTATTTACCTCTATTTTTCTGAGTATTTGAAATATTTCATTGCTAGTCATTCTTTAGCAAAGGAAACAAACTGATAAGCTCTTCTTCATTATTATGAATTATTCAGTTAGTTTTGCATAAACTGGAGGGCAGATAATTACTGATACGACCTCAACAAAGAGGTAAGGTAGAGACAGGAATGTTTGCTAATTAACTGCTATGGAAAGAAAGGTGAGAAATAATTAAAGCGCCTAGTTCTCTGTGTTCTGCTGCTATGCATTCCTCCAGAACATTCTCCCAGTGTGTTTCTTCTGGCGTGATGCCTGAGAGCAGTGAACCAACAATACACTTCCGTAGAAAGAGATCTTGCTAGGTTTTGAGTATGATGCCGGTTTGTGGCTGTATTGTTTCACAGATTATATTAGTGGTCATGAATGGGAATTGCTGCACTTCAAATACTCAAAATTATATGACCAGCTGTCCTAGGGGTCTCTCCATGTTTGGAGTGATGAGCCTCTAAGACAGTCCTCACCTAGGAGAAGCTTCTTCCAGATTCCAGGGACTTTGGTTCAAAGCAAGGCAAAATTTGTATTTTCTTCCAACTTCAATGTGACATAGAAGGTTGTGTTTTGATTTTAACTCTTGGCTCATGGAAATTATAAATAAAGTTTAATTTTCTCATTTTGTGCTTCAGAGCAGCTGGCACATCTCAGCCAGTGTTTTTTGTGCATGTAATATATAAGGAAGAAGAAGCCATTTATCTTTAAATGTGCTTATCTCTTAACACTTTTTTTTAAATATACAGTTACGATTAAGTAGATGCTGATGCTTCTTCAGCAGCAGATTTGTATCTTCTGGTTTTCAAGTGCCTGGTAACAACACGACAGCACTCTTAGTGGATAGTAAATGCCAAACACCTTTGTATACATGACACTTTTGTCATCCGTCATCTTGAAACACAAAGCTTAGTATTTAATTGTTTACAAAGTGTACACTTAAGGTTAATTTTTAAAAAACTTGGCTTATTGTTGCCTGAAGGATTTATTGCAAAGTGAAAGCACTATCAAACAGTAAAATAAATATGTAGATTTATGCTATATGATTAATGACAAATCACTGCACAAGACTATTCCAACCGCCCTTACACTCTGTGCATGTATATGTGTCTCCTACTGAAGAGTGTACACACACATATATACAGATATGTCAGACTCAGTCATATATACGTTATATATATGTGCACTCTCCAGTAGGATTGCACAGCCCCTGTTTCCTGCAGATATTTCATAAATGCCTAACCTCTGCTTTCTTTCCATTTTCCTCTGCCCCCAGTGAATGGTGGCCTGGCATTTTCATCAGTTGCACAGACTAAAGCCAGCTCCACACAACTAGCTGCTACATCATGTGGCCAGCAGGGGTGACAGCTGTGTCAAATGGGCGTCCCACCATTACTGGAGACCAGAGGGAATGACATTGTCCTTGAACTCTTCTGTGTGAGCTCGTAAGAAGTGTTAGTTACGCTGAGTGGAAGCATGATTCCACTTGCATGAAATTCCACAAAAGGGAAAACTAACCTATGGTAGAAAAATACCAGAGCAGTTGTTGCCTCTGAGAGTGAGGGCAGGGGTGATTGGAAGGGGTATTGAGGGACCTTGCTGGAGGTGATAGCAATGTGCTATAGCTCAATAGGTTAGGATTAAATAGCTGTATGCATTTGTCAGATCTCAGTGAATGTACACTTAAGATTTATGCATTTCGTTGTCTATAAATTTTATCATAAAACAAGTTAATAGTATGCATGATTAAGAATTTAAAATGATATATATTAACATCAGCAATTTATAAAATAAGGTGGATTGATGGGTGGAGAGAAGATTAGATACATGTGATAAAACAAGCGTAATAAAATGTTAATGGTAGAATCTAGGTGGTAGATATGCAGTGTTCCTTCTGACATTATTTCAGCTTTACTATTTGTTTAAAAATGTTCATAATAAAATGTTGGGGGACAAAATGCCTTTTATACGTACAGTGGGGCAGAGGTAGAAAGGACTGCCCATGGCTGTTCAGACCTTTCCGAACCCACAAGATAACAATGCTCACTTGGCAAAATTGTCTTTGAATATGTGTAGACCTCAGTGTCAATGTAGGTAAATATCCTAATACTGTGACTACAAATAGAGTGCCAGGACTAGTGCAGGCAGGTAAGAATGGTTGGCATCTTTTCATTTTCCTAACGAATTTCTTTTCTGGCAAATCAGCTTTTTGTTATCTATATGCACATATATGTATGTGTAACAGATAAATATATATATATACATATGTAGATGATATGTTTATGTGTATAAACAAATATGTATATACACACATATATAAAAAAACATTTAAAGAATACATACCAAAAAGTTAGTAATCTTGGGATGGCACACAGGTGACTTTTTACATATTATTTTTGTTTGCCTATATTCTTTGAATTTTCTACAATGAACACACATTTCTTATATCAGATGGTAAGATCTCAAAAGTATTCTTTGTTAAATGTTTTCTTAATTAAAGTAAACACTTTTCCATTTGGTTGGAAATGACCTTTTGACTTAATATCCACCTTTTGAATTACTTTTCTGTGGAGCATACTTGGGTGATTTCTTGAATTGTGTTAAAATACACATAACATCAAATTTACCATTTTAACCATTTTTAAGTGTTCACGTCAGTGGTATTAAATTCATTCTCTTGTTCAGCCGTTACCACCATCCATCTCCAGAACTCTTTGCATTGTACAAAATTGGATTTCTGTACCCACTAAATAGGATCTCCCCATTTTCCCTCCTCCCAGTCCTCTGCAACCACCATTCTACCTTCTAGCTCCACAAATTTGATTACTCTAAGTGCTTCATGTAAGTGGAATCATCTGGTATTTGTGCTTTTATGACTAGTTTATTTCACTAAGCATAATGTCCTCAAGGTCCATCCATCTGGTAGCACGGATCAGAATTCCCTTCTTCTTAAGGCTCAATACGCTGTGTATATACGTATATGCCACATTTGTTTACCAATTTACCATGGATACCTTGCTTTATCTTTTAGTATTATGAATAATGTTGCTGTAAACATGTGTGTACAAATATTTCCTTGAGTCTCTGCTTTTAATTCTTTCAGATATATATGCAGGGGTGAAATTGCTAGGTCATATCATAATTCTATTTTGAACTTTTTGAACCATTTTCTATAGCAGCTGCACCATTTTACAGTCCCTCCGACAGAACACAAGATTGCAATGTCTCCACATCCTGGTCAATACTTGTCATTTTCTGTTTTGTTTTGTTTTCTATAATAGCACCCTAATGTATGTGAGATGGTATTTCATTGTGGTTTTGATTTGCATTTTCCTAATAATTATTTATATTGATCATCTTTTCATGTGCCTACGGGCCATTTGTATATCTTTAAAGAAATGTCTGCTTATTTTTAATTG